GCGTACCCTAGAGTGACGCACTACAGTTTTTGGACAACTGCGATCAACCAAACTTCACGAGTGACGTCAACAATGTGTGTGCGTGTCACTGCTTCTGCCATAGGTAGATCGTACCAGCCAATCAGAGACAGTGTGTCCCAGACAGAAGCAGAAAAATGCCAGGAATACTGGAACGCGATTGGTAGAAGCCCGGATAACCAATGAGCCTACTTTGCAAATATTATTTAATCCCCTTTATTTCTTCCAATAAACGAACTGCCATTCCCGTGGCCTTTTTCTCGCGTCTCAGTTAAGCGAAATATTGCGTACCAGTGCCAGTGTGGTCAAGTGCGTACGTGACATCCGTGATTGTTGATCAGTGATCTATATTCTGCGATTCGTGTTCCGCGCATCGTATTGCGTCGTTTGTATTCGTACACTACTACTACTACTACTACTACTACTACTACTACACTCATTACAGGTAGCGACCGTATGTAATGCGTGACAGGCGAAGGATGCAAAAGGATGTCAAATACTGTGTGTGTGTGTGTGTGTGCATTTAGTTAATTCAAACAGACAAAAGGGACTGAAGCAGTATAACGGGGACTCAGACTGGCACTCAGACCAAATACGTTTGAGATGATAATTGTCGAGTAAAACCAATGTGAACTCCAAAAGGGAACTTCATAGGGACATCTTGTGAATCTAAAAACCGGGGTAGGGAGTTTTAATGCACCGCCTTACAGGAACCGAACTGGAATGCCTACTTTCGTTTCTCTCCGCCAGATGGCAGGTCTCACATCCTCTTGTAGCATTTGATTCGCATGCGTGTTATTGATTTTTTACTGATGAAAGGTTTTCTTCATTCCCAGAGAACATTGCAATCAACGACAGATGGTCCTTCATCAACGGACGACGAATACTTGAACAGACCAGGATGACCGCCAAAATAATGAATGTGTGGTAGATACTCTATTTTTCATATCACACTAAAACTCTGAAATCGCTCACGATGGAACCCTATTATCAAGTTTAGTTAGCAAAGTGGACTGCCTGAGGTGTTTTTTAGTAATCGAAGTAAATATGGATTACGGATCTCGACTGACGATGGCAGAATACTACTAGCAACCGTAACCTGGAATCTCTCATCACCGAGACGCAGGAAGGTCAAAGAAGTGGCGGTGCAATCATTGAGAGAAATCAATGGGATTAAATAATGTGGAAATGGAATTATCATCGGTCAAACGAGTATCAACCAATCACTATTCTCGTTCTTGGAGTCAAACGCCTTCTGTTTGAATTGTATGGCTGTTGGGTGATCAATATTGTTAGTCCATAGCCCAATGTCCAGAAACTGGAACATGTAGGCGCTTGGTTGGCTTCATCTGGGAGGATGGACTCACGACGCGTTTCCTCCCAATATCGTCCTAAATTTTTGATATCTGCTCGGGCGGTTCGATTAAGAGCAAACTTCGACCTTCAATGTGATATCCGCTTTCCGACCCGCTTGGACAAATATTGCTTGTAACTCAGATCAGTCAAGTGGTGATACTTTTTTCATTCGCTTCATTAGTTGCGCTCTTGTGGTGAGTCTCTGTCAACGCTGCGTAATCAGTACAAGTGTCCTAACCTATCCACCTTTGTCGGTCCGACAACCACACGATCAACCGAACGAATGGACAAGCTGCAACTCGGGGAAGTAAGGCTTGCTCAGGTAGCACGAGACAACGGTATCAAGTCTTGAGAACGCCCAGTGAACCTCCAATGTTCAAAGCAGGAATATCATCAGCTGGCGGCTGGTCAAGAGATAACAGCATGAGAATCATAAAAATTACGAATGGGTGCACAGAAACTCTTGCAAAAGAATGAGGAATTGCAAGTTGCGCAAACAGCAGAAGACTATCCGATCAATTGGTAAAGAGAGAAAGTGGACATGCGGCAATGTGAAGACCATGAGCCCGAGGAACCAGGCAATGTGAAACAATGAAGCACTCACATTGTACTATCATTACTGTTCTGTATCTTCGTTTCTACCGAATCTGTTCTAATATTACACAACGTGACACTTGGTAGCTCGGTCCGAAAGGGAATAAGTGAATCTGTTACACTTTCTCACAAGAAACACGACTAAATGTTTTGCACCTAAAGGCAAACTGTCAAACAAGTTCGTTTGTGGGGCTTGATTAACGAACCACATAAAGTGACACGATACAGACTAAATTGAAAATGGGTGAGGAAATAAACATCAAATCAGAAGTGCGCGAAAATCTGAATTCACATCAGATAATCACACCCCAGTAAACAGCTGTCTGATTTTTCACTTCTGCTGGTTTTCGGTAGTGACGAATGAACACTGGAGAGCTCTCGTCCGTTGCTGTTTGTGGTTTTTACAGTGGAAATGCGATTGTCTGCGTGATCGTCGACAGATGTTCTATAACCTCCTTTGATCGCAACGCAAATGTCGTGGGTATCATCATGATGAAACTGTACTTTGACATGGTGTGATGGCTTGTGTGCCTCCATGACCATGCTACATAGGATGGCTTTTCACAGTGAAAGATTCAATCACTCCTAGAAGGGCGGTAGATAGAGGACAAACGATGCTCAGTTTCACAAGCCCAGCTGGTTCGAACCTCCTGGCTGCCTTTGACTACCCATTTTTGTTCCGGGGAAAGGTTACTCCAGTAAATAAACACGGTGAGAAGCAGGTTATCCTTTAAAATACCCCGCTAGATGAAAGGAGCGCGGGGTATATGGAACTTCCTCTCAACGGTGGGAGAATTCTTCGCACTTCATTGGACAGCTACCGCCCGCCCAAGCTGCGCAGTCCCCAGCCAATAAGGTGCTGTCCCGCTCACGTTCCGCTTATCTCATTGGGCCGTTCCCAAACAGCACTCGCTTCTTGACTGGATTTCAGTCAGTAGCCGAGTGTGAACTATGCGTCTCAACCGTTCAATAAAGGTCAAAAGCTACGGAAAGAAGTGCTCGTACCTATTTGTAGTATCGGTGTATGCGCCGATGATCTTTCTCAATTACTCGGAATTGCTCGATCAACGGAAATCGTTGTAATCGCCAGCGATTTTAGTGCTCAAGTTGGGATCCCTGGACGAATCAAAAAGGCTTCTTGGCGGACCACATACAACCCCAGACAACGGAGATCGCATACTTCATTTTTGCACGGACCACGGATTATTCCTTTCAAACAACAATCTATCGAGCAAGAAATTCTTTTCGTAGACAGACTTGTGTCACAACCTGGCCCCAGAAGTGTGACATACTCGTTTCTCCTGAGATATCTCAAACTGATAACAGTCCATTTACGTCCGGTGATTCAGTCAAAGACTGATAGAAAGGTGGAACCAAAGAGGACTTCAACACACAAACGTGGCGACACTAGCGAATTAGTCATCAAGTTTTATCTTTCAAATTGATTTTATTGATCCATTTGCCGGATCTTATTTTGGGGAGAACAAAACGTCGAACAGAGCGGTAACACTTCCAAGATAATCTTATCAAGATTCATCGAGAAAAAATTTTGAATACGGCGATGAAAAGCCTCCTTCATAGATCGCATTTGTAGCACGACGGCATAAAATAATGTTTGTTTTCTCCATTTATTTTGTCTCAATTTCCGGAAAGTAAATGGAACATTGAACTGATTCGTCTTTTGTTGGATTATGGAGAGCTTCATAGGCGAGGTAATTTCTGTTACACTCCTCGATCCGGTCAACTCAGATAACCTCGTTCACTGTGTGGAGGCTTGGAGCGCGTTTAGAGACGTTGCTGCCGTCTAGGCGGGGAATAACCTCAAACGCCTTGGATGCATACTGCTATTCAAAACCTCACAGCAGCTTCTACTTTGGCCAGCTGTGTAAGGAGACCGCAAAGCTGCCAAAGTCGGGTGGCGGTGGTGGTGTTTGAACCTCGGATCGCAGGGTACGAAGCACTCCGGTAAGAGCAATTGATCGGTTAAAAAATACAGACATACATCCTTACTTTAACGCCATTGCGAGTCGCATGAGTCGAGAACCAACGTCACCTGATCGTAGTCTAACCCAGTCTGACAATCGTGAACTGCCCGCTCAGTTAGTGTGCGGAAGTAAGGACACGAAATGACCAGTGCATCCGTTTTTTACCAACGAATCCACGCGGTGTACCACTTGCGACCAAAGCGAACTCAAACAGATCAGAAACAAATTTTGTGGTGTGTATTTACGTAGACAGCATGTACACGTACAGTTATATGCATAAATATGTATAGATATCGAATTCGAGTTCAAATAGATTAGTAGACAATAAAGTTATACTGGTCAGAATAATAGAATAATAAATATATATATATATATATATATGTATGTGTATATACAATAACATTCTCTATATCAAAAAGAAGTCCATCAATTTCGGTAGGTAGGTTGGTTGGTAGATAGGAAAATGAAGACGAGGATAACAGTAAAACAATTAACAGTGATCCGGCTGGNACAATGTATTAGAACAGTACGGGTAATGACAATTTGATGTTAAAAATAGAAAAATAGGCGGCTGCAATGTTTCATCATCGTCGGCGGCGTCATCGTTCGCTTTTGCATCGTAAATAACGATAGCTATCGGGAATAACAACGTCGAGAGTCCGGTTGTTGGGCGAAAAAAAAAAAAGAACGGGCGGATTTTTCGCACCGATCAGATCGGATGGAAGAATGAGGATAGAAAAATGAACAAAAAAGAACGGAACCGAAGCTAGCCAGCCATGTCCGGCGCGTCGCGCACAAAGCACGCACACAAGCAAGACATGGACTTGAGGGAGGACATCTAAGGCAGTAAGACGCCCGTGGGGGTGTTTGGTAAGAAAAGGGGGTGGGGATGGAGGAGGGGGCGAACACCACGACCATCACCACACCAACGAACCAGGGGACATGTCAATGTCGTATATGAAGGCACATAGGAACAACGTGGAGCTGTGTTGTGCGCAGTGAAAAAATACGACAGGCGGGAGTGCTCGAGCCCAAGCGGGAACTGGATTATCGAGCCAGGGTAGAATCGTTCATCCATAATTGCCGAATGGTGCGTTGCAAAGCGCGAATGGATCGATCCTGAGAGCGAACAGTGCGAGTGAGTCGAGAAATTTGGCGTCGTAAGTGAACTACCTCGGCATTCAGTCGACGAACGGGAGACTGTTGCGGTTTGTTCGACCTACAGAAACAAGAAGAAAGATGATCGGTAGAGACGAACGTGGTGGGCAGATAGGAGTGAGGAACAACGAGTTGGAAGAGACAGTTTTCCAAGAAGCACTACTAAGTTGAACTGGGGAAAATTATTCACAATGACTATAATTTGTATTCCATGATCATCCAGCGACAGAGAAGTGTAAGCAGCAATCGGTGATCCATCGCTCTTGCTTGTCCGTTAGCAGTTAGATGGATATGCATGATGAGAAAGGCGTTCGGATGGGCAACCCATCGGGCTCACAAGTCCACAATTAAGCGAATACCTAACAGAGAATTACTTTTAGGACGAATTCAGCCACATGGGCATCTAACTGAGAAGCAGTCTGGTATCAGGGATCCATGTCAACGCTACAAGGGATTATATGAGAGTCGATTCTGTTTGGAAATTATTCTGGTACGAAAAGATGGTTCAGAAAAAAGTCCTACCAGATAGTTCCCGCAGCTGTCATTAAGAATAGAATTCCAGAGTTAGAGGTCCAATCGAGTGAATTAGAAACTATAGCAAGTAACGCATAGTCTGGAAAGATAATTCTGCTGGAAAAAGATCACGTGATTCTGTACTGACTAATTCAGCGACTGGGACAAAAGACGACAAATCAATCAACTAGCTATTTTAACTTCCGCTAGATAATCCGTCCTCTGATGGAGAACAAGATGTTTGGCTCGATTTTCATCCACAAGTACGAAGGCACTTAAAAAGAATTGAAGTGACCGACAAAAGAAGAAATGCTACCATTTGGTTTCAAGTACGCCAATCTAACGAGAAGAATCGAAAAAAGCATCATCGTCAGACCGCTTTTCGGATAACTTCGTCGATAGGCTCCATTCTATGCCTCATAAAACAATTTAGAAACCTCGGGTTGATAAATCAAACTGAAATCGATTCATGATGATCGATGAAACGGAAAGGCCACTCCAGCAAATAAACACGGTGAGGGACAGTTTACCCGTTAAAATACCCCGCTAGATGGACGTAGGAGCGGGGGTACCTTGGGCTTCCTCTCGATGGTGGGAGAAGTCTTCGCACTTCATTGGACAGCTACCGCCCGCCCAAGCTGGGCAGCCCAAGCCAATAAGGTGCTGTCCCGCTCACGTTCCGCTTGTCTCATTGGGTGCATAAAGCTGAGGGCTGATCCCGAAAAGCGGACCGCCAACCAACACACCAGCGAACAACACACTTAACCGAAATTCAAAGGCCTTGCTTGACAGGTCTCCAGAAGCTCCCACACGGGTGCTTCGTTCACGCTCCCGCGTTGGATTTACGCCCCACTGCCTTGTGGGTCAGACTTTTGAGTCAAAGGCTCCGGTTAGGGTTCCCAAAGAAGAACCCCTTCGTCGGTGTGGGCAACCGCGCAGTATGCAGTGCCCTAAAGTCTTAGGCATCCATTTGGAAAAACCTCTTTCCGATCTATCTACTTCTTCCTCCAAGTCCTGAATAATCCCAGACGCCTCCTGTTTACGCCACCCATCGAATATCACGCAGCGTTTTACCATCAAGGCCAAACAATCTGAAGTTACAGGATTTTTGAAGCCAAAATTTCCTTTACATTTAGCCGCACTCAATGTCGGCATACTCTACCAGATTGATCAGCAAGCTGCCTTAGCTAAAACCCTTGAAACCTTCCATTTAGATGTATGCTGTCTCCGAAACACGCATACAAGACCCTACTTCAATCATTTCCCTGCGTTCCCCTAACCCAACCTTGGCCTCACTCTTCGCCCTCCGTGTGTCAGGCGATTCATCGTCTGAAGCTCGCGGTGTTTCTGGTGTTGGGATTGTGCTGAGCGCTCGCTTCTAGAATGGATTCCAGTTAGTAGCGGACTACGCGCTGTACGGCTCAGCACGGGTCAACAGCTACAGAATGAAACGGCGGTGATTATTCGTCGTATCGATGTATGCACCGACCGATTGCAGTGCACCTGATATGAAGGATGAATTCTACAAGGATGTCTTCCAACTGCTGCAAAGTGCTTGGTCAACGGATATCGTGGTAGTCGCTGGAGAATTCAATGCTCAAATGGGATCCCTGGACGAATCAGAAAAGCTTCTTGGCGGACCGTATGCAATCCCAGCCAACCGGACGGAAAACGGAGATCGCCTACTTCAACTCTGCGCGGACCACGGATTGTTACTGACAAACACGAACTTCCTGCACAAGAAACGACACCGCCCTACATGGAAACTACAAATCTCTTCACTGCGCTGGACCCAGACCGAGCACATCACCATCAGTTACCACTGGAGAAGGTCGATTCAAGATTGCCGCTTTTGCTAGTCCACACCTGTAGATACGGATCACGCTTTGCAAACAACCATAAAGCCACCGACAACGGATACCCATGATACAACGTCAGCGATTGATGCAAATTGGTGTTCGAAGCGGAACTCTCCGAACGCCTGTCAGTTCAATCACCGGCAGGACTCGATGAACACTGAAAGCAAATCAAGGAAGCTATGCAAATATCAATAAAAACAACGTCGGACCCTGCCGCAAGCTCAAAACACAAACGATAGATCTCATCGACATCCGGCTGTCTGTTAAAGGTCGAGTGTGTGGTGCAGCAGTTCGACCAGTTCTGCTATATGGTGCAGAAACTTGGCCATTAAGGATACAGGATAAAGATAGACTGTCGAACGAATCTGGTGGGGCAGCCGGACGAGTAATGCTGAGGTTATGCGCAGAGTATTAGGTAAATGCGATCGCCCACTGGAGCAAGTGATCGACCTCCACAGATAACAATGGTTAGGGCATGCGTTACGCATGTCACCAGATAGGTGACCACGGCGAGCGATGTTTGCCGAGGGAGGTAGTGGGTGAAAGAAAGTCCAGGGTGATCAAGCTAAGACCTGGAATGAGGGTATGAAAACCCTGGGTCACATAGGTCCTCTTAGGCTCCCTGGGTGGGAGCCTCGAAATGATCATACCCGATGGTTAGAGACACTAAGTGATATGGCTGGGAGTCGTGAACAGGGGCGTCCGTGCATTTTGTAGATTTCTCTGCAAAATTAGTGCAATAAAATCCTAAATTTTCCCTTCGATCCAAACTTCCTGTCTTTATCCTCATGTTCATCCAAATGGGCAGCCAAAAGACAGCAACCAATACCGGCGCACGATAGTGCATGGTTAATGGTTGTAGAAACTGAAACCGTTTGATGATTTGAATCACACAACAGTTCACCTTTAGTTCAATTCAGTACATTTTACAAAAAAATATCCTTGTGCTTTCATGCGGTGGTTGTGTTTATTGTTTTTGTTTGCCTGCTTAATCGAACAGTGATCAAGGAGACCATGAAAGTCAAGTTCGAAGTACGCTAAATCTCCGAAACACTTCGATAAATGCACTGTATCTTTCAGACCCGATGTCATCCTCATGCTTCACTTTCTGTATTGGGCGATTTGACACCTGAACAGTGACTATGTTGCCAGTGTCACGATCGCACTAGGAGTCCAGAGCATTCATCTCTTGAGTGGATTAGAGTCAGTAACCGACTGTACGCCTTATGTCTCGATAATTCACAGTGGCAGATTAACAGTGAGCCTGAAATGAAGGATGAATTCAGCAAGGAATTTCATCGACTGCTCCACAGTGTTTGATCAACGGACATTGTTGTATTTGACGGCGATTTCAGTGACAAAGTGGAATCCCTGGGAGTATTAACAAGGTGTGTGGGCGGTCAACATAGAATCCCGGTCGACCGGAAGGACAACATAGATCGCCTACTTCAACTCTGTGTAGATAACGGATTGTTTCTATCGGGCACCAACTTCTCTCATTAAAAACAATACTATCTCGCACGGAAACCTCTGACCTGTTCATCAGAATGGATCAAGATGATTCACGTGGCCACTAGCCGCCACCATCGAGAATCTGTTCGAAAATACTACCCCCACTGGTTTATGGCTGCAAACGCAGTTAATGCACTGATATGAGCCAAAATCGGGCTTTGCCTGATGAACAGCCGCGACAGAGCTGCTGAAAACACGTGTCTACAGTACGATATAAGTGACGGTTGTAATCGAGCCTTTAAAGTAGAGCTCTGTCGGCACCTCTCAGTTCAAGCACCCAACAAAGGACTCAATGAACATCAGACATTACTCAAGTGAGCTATCCAAATGCTGATCAGAACAAGAATGGATTTTGGCACATGATCAAAGTACGGACGATTGATCTTCGCTACCTCGGCTGCTTTGCTGGATGCACACAGAGACATTCCTCTAGCCATTGAATTTGACACACCTCACAAATCCGTTTTGCGTATGCCTACCCATTAACTGCTTCTCCATACTGTCTTTGAATGAGCAGGGTTGAAAGAACATCAAACTGGTCAAACCATGATGTGGCGTGGGAGGATGAAGAAGTTAGCTTCAGTTCGTGCAGCTCATTTTCCAGGTTAGTGCTGAACGGAAGAGACCGCGAGAGATATACTCAAAGTACAAGTCAGTGATGTGAATGCTGTACGGTCTGTCTGTTGAAATCATGTACCTCTCAAAAGTGGCAAACCAACATACATAAAATATTAAAAAGTGTACAGTGAAACAAAAAACATAGCTTTTCTTTTTCTTTAGGTTTTCTGTAATTATTTGCTTGTTCCATCATTCTCTTCTCTGCCCCACTCCCACCCCTTTCTAATATTGTTGTGTTGACATCATGCTTATTCGCATATCATTGACAAATTATATATATATATATATTTCTAAAATCCATGATTAACTGACCCAATCCCAGGCTGGGAACATCATTTCACAACACACTCAAGTCCCGGTTCTATAATGGATGTTTTATTCGAGACGCTTTAAGGCCTGAGAGATTCCAAGTTAAAAAGGAATCATAATTGAAAAGAAAAACGGATGTATGCGGTAGCAGCAGATAAAGTGCAGCTGACCTGTCGGGGTTTGTACGGGATGCTGTTTCCGATTCGGACACGCGTTCCGGTTGTTCCACCTGAAGAAGGGACAGAATGGAAGTAGACAAGTTGATGAGAAAAATGGACAACAGAGATCACCCTCGGGTAAATTCCATAACAAGATTGTTTCATTTTACTTGCTAGGCACCGGCAGACATAAGGAGTCCAAACATAGAGTGTGTAACACATTGCGATCCCGCATTTCCCCATGTGTATTACGTTCGGGGATTCAGAGTGATTGTGACGACAGAGAACACTGGTCTTGTTTCTCGGATCCACTTTCGACATGCTTCAAGTGGATGGGGAAGAATATCTCCAATTTAGTGGTCAACTTAAACGATAGGTGACAGAATTTATCGACCATTAAATTGCCAAGATCGGTGAACGGGCTAAAATGATACCCCATATGCATGGTGGATGGTGCACAGCTTCACATTAGCCCAGTTACATGCCGCATCTGTATCACTGGGTTCCTGTGTGATCCATCAATTCAAGTGCCAATCAGAGGAGTTTGGATTTTCGGTTATCGTCATCTACCAGTCAGCCCACGTTACCAACGTTTATCACACCATTCTGTCCAAGATCAAAACTACAAACTGCGAAAAACAGAGGGACTTTACCCGGCGGCTCACAAAGCAAGACGCAAACAACGTGAAAGTGAGGGGTTAGCATCGTATTGTTCAGTTTTAACTTTTCATAAGCGAAATCATAGAGGTAGCTTAAATGCGGGATCAAACATCTATATCCTGATAAGAAACAGAAAAGCAATTACGGAATTATTGGTCTATTATGAACGATGGAAAGATTTGTGATGGTTGACAAACAGCAATGGACAACCGTTTTCTTGTTTGGGGCTCGTCAGCAGTGCGTACTTGTTTGTGTCTCTGTCAGGACTCCAATCGTGAACATTCGGGTCNGGTCGGGACTTCAAACCCTTACCCTTGAGCTACATGGTCTACGATCACCACCTTGAGCGAATGGTTCATAAATCTGTTCATCGCTTGTAAACGCATTCAACTAGTGAGGAATTACCGATCTCCCGAGGAGTGAAACCCACGTACAAGACCATCAACAGTGCCTGGTGCATCGAATAGATTATTCATTAGTCTTCTCATCCATTCCCTCTCCACTAATGTACCTTGATCGGAATGCGCTGTGTTTCCGTTCCGGACACAGCAATTTTCACCCCAGGGTTTGACGAAGATGTTCGATTCCGCTGCTGTAACAATCGTTCGAACGTAGCCAACTCTTCTGCCGTGTACTGATCGTCCGCATTTGGACGGTTCGGATCTGTTGGAACGACAGTGTTCGTTGATTCCAGTTTCACACTCCCCGGGTTAGAGAGAACAGATGTGGTTGTCGGAGCTGGGTTTGGTGCTGACAATGAGGAGGATACTGACGAAGACGCAGGAATGGTGGCCTTGGAAAGGTTAGGGAAAACAGGTTGGGTTAAACTCCTTCCGATACCCATTGTGGTCGCAGTGATACCAGTGGTCCCGCTGTTCCGCTCGGACGGGGAACTGGTTACCGCGGCTGCCGCTGCAGCCAGGACAGCCGGTGAAACAGAGGCGGNGGGACAATTGAGCAAGATAGCCGACGGAGATATCGAATGGATTGGTGTCGGACTGAGCAACGCTGGAGCCTACCGGGGTGCGAGGTAAGAGGGAGTGGGGTGAAATAACGAAAAAAACAGTTACTTATGTATGACACGAAATAGCGAACAGGCTCGTTTTCGATAAATTCTTCATCTAGGTGTTATATTTATATGAATAGATAATAGGCATATCACATTTGCATAATGTTTGACGTGTGTGTGCGGATTGGATTGGTAGATACAATTACTCCCTTTGTGTGTGGTTTACAAAAAAAAACGTTGCAGTGGAGGGTGGACGGGAATAGGGATGTGTCACATGAGGATTAGGACAGAGTCGAGGTTAACCATCACCTGTTTGGGGCACAGGGTCAATCGAAAGGATCAAGGGGTCATGGAACTGGTCAGTTGTAATCAAGCAATTGAATGCACTACGTGGCAATGTTAGTTGAAGTGCTTTAACAAATCGCTTTTGGGAACAAAGTGATGGGTTGAACAAGCGGATAGCCACTGCCTCAGCTGTTGCTAAATGTTGTTGACGAACAGCCTTGGACGGAAAACGAGGCACTCGGCAGATCACCTTGAAGGCATTTTCACTTACGGTATGCCCCGTATTTGCGAGATGTTCCACAATGGCACTTGAGATGGTTTTTCTGACCCCAGTACTCAACCAGGCTGGTTTGTGTTCCTTGATCCTCTGGGAAAACTGCCTGATGATTCTACCTACGTAGCTTGCCGAACACGAACAAACGAATGAATAAGTAATCATAGAGAAGGTAGAAATAGGCCATTTATCTTTGAGGTTCATCGGTTGGTTGGTGAACTGGAGGCGTAAACGTGAGGCCGGAAATGTGCGAGTGATTGCTCTTTCTAAACGCCGGGTGATTAGCTCACTTTTGTAATCTCCCTTGTGTATGACCCAAACAGCTCAAAGTAATTGGTGCATCATGATAGCCATCAGTTGCTATTTCCTTCTATTACCGTTCGAACTTAATGTGTGCACAGATCACATTCAATAAGTGTCAGCTTTGTAATTTACTCAAAATAAAAATTTGATTTGATTGAATTGAGAGAAGAAAATGATTATGGTTCGATAAGAATCCAACTATTACCATAAACGAATGACTAGGGGCTTGTGTTTACTGCTGGTGACGATGACGAAGAAGACCAATGAGTACTGTCGATTTTCCCCAATATTCCGTACTCTAATTACGATTCCTTAGCATAACAACCATTTGTCCGACAGTAATAAACAGAATTTTAGACGATAAAACTGGTACTAAGGGGTATATGCAAAGGCAAACTGGTTTACCACGTACCGGTTGTGAGGGCAAAGCCGTTTGGGACTGACCGGAGAGTAAGGCGACCAAATAAGTCGTGAGCAGATTGGAGGCATCCCCGGGAAATCCGAGAATCGTGGTGGTAGTGGAAGGGACCGGAGCAGGTTGTGTGTTCGCGGGCACAGGGAGTGGGGTCGGGTTGGGAATCAATCCGGAAGTCAAGGGAGTTGGTGTGGATGTTGCTGTTGCGATGGCCGGACCACCGACAGATGGTATTTGCAAACCGATCAGTGGATTAGTTAGAGGTAATGTGCCGGTGGATAATGAGGTGGAATGCGCCGTCGCAGCCTGAGAGACAATTTGCCAGAGGCGATCTAATGGACTCGGTTGTAGCTGAGGGATCGAATGGGTTCCAGTGACAGCGGACAACAGAGTAGAGGTTGGTACCGATAGAAGCGAGGGTGCAGTTTGGGAAACCATTCCAGACTGTGGGGTATTGTGAGTTTCAACTACTACTGGGCTAGGCACAACCGAGGAGGTGGATGATGGAGGTGTGGAAGAAAGTGATGCACCTNCCTGAGGAATCCACGGATACAACGGTAGTTGGGACGCTGGAGATGTGGGGGATAAGGAATGGGCAAACGATAACAAATGATTCGTTGTGTTTCAGCATATAAGCTGTGATGAATAAAATCAATTAAATACCGACAGCGCGATAAGGCTTGGTTCATTTGTTTGGCATTTAAAGCATGACTGACTGTAGGGTTATAGGGAGTAAGCGTTGCAAGGGGCTTCGGTTGGTGCTTTCAAACTTCTTGATTAGGACGCTGACAGATATGCTCCAAGAAGAAATAAGTGACGAGAATGTAGGATCATTTGTTTGATTCAATCCTGCACCTCATAAAGAAGAAGCGAAAATAAAATAGACGGAAAGAAAACGAAAATGTGCAAGATGAACTGTTTCCCTTATTTTACTTTTTATGATTATGGTAGAGGCAACATGCCTTCCCTCTAGCTGGTGTAAAATATATGCAGCGCTCCGCCCATACAGAAGACATCGTCCAGACCAAACATAAATCTTCAGTACATGGCGTTTTTCGTTCTTAGGAGAGGCTTCTAGAAAACAGCACAGAGCAGGTCAGCACCCGCAATCTTGTGAATGGTTCATGAGAGATGACCGGTTAATATATATATATATATATATATATATATATATATTGAAAAGAAGGTGAGCACTGAGTGATAGTATTTATTGTGACGTTTCGATCCATTGCGTACACCACCCCTGATTGGTCCTGTGGTTCTACATAGTCCTTATCGTTGAACAAAATTGACCGTAGCGTTGTTGTAGGTTTGTGGGCAATGGTGACACCCAGCAGGCGAAGGATGCTTCTGATACCCCACGTATGTATGGTAATAAGAGTTTCGTTTTCTCCTCTTCATCCTTCGGTTTGGACGAGATTTTTGAGGTGTCCATTTGTGTGGAATCGATGGAACAGATGCATTCGTACCTGATGCCTGAGTTCTTCTGTGCTACAATGAGAGTCCGCACGACGGTGTCTACACACAGCTCATATATATAACTGTGGATCTAACCCGAAACCTCACAGGTAGAATGGAAGTATGATACCCATTCGACCACCGGGCAACCGACCAGACCGTTTTATCATTTTTCATTTACACGATATAGCACAACTCATCTTTGCGAGCTTGTTCCGAGGCACAGAGCCTGCTCATCTCAGCACTAGCCTCCAGGGTTATGACTTGGTTGGAGACTTTCACAACCTGACTACTAGTCGCATGCTCTGTTCACGACAGATTCGCCCTACGAAAAAGAATATACATACATATGTTGAAGTCCGCTTAGTCTATCGCACCTCACACACACACACACACACACACACACACACGATGTCAGTGATTGATCCGGTCGGCGGTACGCTAAGCTAAGCTCAAGTACTAATATGAATTTTTCCCTTATCCAATCCCCGCAATTTTTCTTGACCAAATGTTTATCGTATGCTATTATCCACCCATCCACTATCCCAAAACTGTAGAAGTTAATAGCACTGAGTTCATGTGAGCGCAGTGCGGCCATATCGCAGCAATAGAGAACGACTACGAAGTTAACATTGACAATGCAATGGAGCACTGTTGCAAGCACGGATGAAGAGAACTCCATTCGGGCAAAATGCTCCATTAGTGATCAATTAGTGGACACATGCGGTCGTTGTGAGAATTTGTAAGGACCGAAAGTCAACACCCTCCGTGATCACAAAGTACGAGTTCTTCTTCCTTAGATATGTCATTACTCGGAAAGAATTCAACTGAAACAGAGGGGTAGTATGAACGCCTCGGCTCCCAGGCTGGAATTTGTTTCGTGCGGAAAATGTCTCGAAATGAACCTATGAAGAAAAAAACATAATCTAGAAAAAGAAAGCTCAGAAACGTAGCAAATGACAAGCAGATCAATCACGATGTGATAGTCTGTATGATGAATTAAGGCTCTAGAAAAATACATCACGAACCGGGGAGAAACTCGGCGGTGTGATTCACCCCAATCGTCTGAGTGTGAGACTGATTTATCAGTCAGGTAACAACTGTCCCAAGAATAACTGTTAGTCCGGTGCAGGGAACAGTCAGGAATCCTACTCTCCGTTTTTGTGTGGACACAAAAAACGGCAACCCGGGTTTCAGGCGAGCAGACTCACATTCGGTAATCGGTATCATCTGGGTGATCTTGTACGCGATCCGAGGGAGACAGATTGGTCCCATCTCCAGCCAGTCCGGGACTATCTGATCGATCGATCAGCATGGCCGAAAGTGCGTCCAGATCGTTAGTTGCGGTTGACGGTGGACTTGTAGATGCTCGTTCATCATCTACGGGGTTTGTCAAAGCGTTTGTCATGGTGTGATTTGCACTGGACGTAGTCACCCCGGTTGAACTGGGAGTGTGACTGGAGGCCGAACGTGGTCGAACGCCAGATTTAGACTGTGCACTGGACTGACTATTTGTGGACCAATTCTCTGTATTGAAACAAGACTGGCAACGGCAGCGCGAAGTGCAACGGATTCGGGCCTGAAAAGCATGGAGGGAGGGGGTGAAGAAAAGGGACCGAGAGTATTGACATATGAAGAATTAGGTAGGTTTTGTTTTCGTGGGCTCGGAGTGTTCAGTTAGGCTTTTCAACATCGTCAAAAAGTTCTTCGGGCGCCAAAATCAACGAATAAAAAAGCGAACGAGACACAAGCTTTCCAGAAAGACACCGGATCATAGTTTGAGGGTTCCCAGAGGTATGCACCAAAGCGAGAGCAGCCTATTAGAACTCCACCTTCATGATAAAACGCACTAATCAACGAGATTGGGCTAGCCCCAAGAAATCGGGAGTATAAACGAATTATCAATTATTCGAGGGGTCGAGAACGGAAACTATTCGACTGGGCTCCGGGTTGAGCCTTTTCATTTTAGACTTCCGCGGATGGATTTCAATTGTTTTCATTCGCTTTCATTTATTTCGTCGACCCATGAAACATTTCCATAAGCAGATCCCAAAGTCCTGCTGTGGATGACTGAAATTTTCGTACTGCATTTGATTGTTGCTGCCAGTTCAAGCTGGAGAGATCACAACAAGTAAGGTGCTGTCCTATCTACTTTCTGTCGGCTTAATTGGATGCATGGATCGATCTGTAACAAGGGACGATAACCAATGAA